GCGAACAATACAGTAATTTTTGAACAATAGCTAAATAAAACTACCCAGCAACTTGGACAAACGTTTAACCCAACCGCTGAGTTAAAACAACTCGTTTGCTGGGTTTGTTCATTTTCAACCAACTTGGGTTGTTTTTAATCCAGCATTTTTTTAGAGTGTGTATGTACCGTTGGAAAAGATACATGAGATAAAAAAATAAAAAAAATTCACCTCATCCATTCCTCGGGTGGAGAAAACAACAGCATGAGTGTGAGTAAATACGGAGAGAGTTTGTATTTTAGGGTCAACTATTCCTTAAATAGTCAGATGAGTATCAAGAATTCAACATCTCCATTTTCATACAGGCCTGACTGTTTCCAGATAAACAGAGATCAGGAAATGAGCCTTGCGACTGTGTGCCTGTCTTGGCGAAACAATCATCACTCACTTTCCCTCGCCTGTTGTGTCCTCCGCTAGGACTGCAAGGGTCACAGTCAGGTGACGATGAGGTTGCCACCTTGACCAACAAACACTTCGTTTTCATTAAACCCATCACACAAACAGACAAGCTTTTCATTATTGCAATCTTGGGTTTCGGACAAACGCGGATTGCCAAATGAACCCTGCCAAGTGAAGCCTCGCCAAGTTCTCCCAGAGCACAATGGAAAAGCGAATGGGCGCTTAAACAAACCAAAAGTGACACGGACACCAAACGATTCCACACTGAGGCGACAGCACACTAACCATTGAATCTAATACCCAAAAATGAAAAGTCTGTCATCATTTACTCATCCTTGTGTCGTTCCAAACCTAGATGAATTTGTTTCTTCTGTGGAGCACAACGAATAGGCTATTTATTGTTCTTTTCTGTATAATGAAACTAAAATGTGATGATTTGGAGGGGTGATGGGAATATAAAAATTGCAAATGCAATTAAAATGCCTTTGCTTTGGCAAAAAACATTGAGATTATACAGCAATATGATTATAATAATAATAATATTGTTATTAATGATATATTTTACTTAAAAAATATTAAAATTAGAAATATTACTAAAAAGATAATTTATATTAAGACAATTTTAATTTGCAATTGCGATTAAAATGTCTTTGTTGTGCTTGTTTGAACAATTTGGCCAAAAATAAGAGATGATATAACTAAGTAATATCACTGCTGTTATTATTGTTAATATTTGCTTTACTAAACAAAATTTTAATTGAAGAAATATTACTAAAAAGAGTTTAAGAAATTTTTCAATTGTGATTGTGATTAAAATGCCATTGCTGTGCTTGTTTGTACTGGGCAAAAATGTGAGAATATCATTCAACATAACTATAATAATAATACCATTATTACTAATAAAATTACTTTTTATTACTAAACAAAATTAATATATGATGAAATTACTTAATTTTACCTAATTACCTAAACCTAACAACATCAAAAAGTAGGCTATTTAAGAAAATTTAAAATTGCAATTGCAATTAACATGATTGTACAATTTGGCCAAAAATGTGAATTATAGCAATATGACTATTATAATAATATTTTAACTAGTTAAAGATATTAAAATAAAATGAAAAAAACGCTGAAAACACTGGATCATGAGCTGTTGGGTTTAAAGAACACAGCTCCACGCTATATTTCATTAAATCAGAGCCTTTGCTATTTGATAATCACACAAAGCAAGATCGCAATTCTGATTTTATTCAATAAGTCGTGCAGACGAAGTTCCGAGGCGTGCGAGTTAAACGTTTCTTTAAGATAAAAGTGAAACAAAGGACAAAATAGCACTATAACAGAAGAAAAATAGCAATCCATATGACTCTTGGAATGTATTCCAGTCTCATGGAGTCACATGGAAGCATTATATGAGGAATGGACTGGATTTAAGCCAATATTCATTCAAATGTTGATTCACTCATCATTCATTTTCACTGTATGGAAAAGAGCAGCTTGCACATTCTGTGCAATCTCTCATAATATGAATATTAGTCGAGTATGAATATAATATATAATAATATAATTCATACTCGAGTATGAATATAATGACAAAACGTTGTTTTTAGGAAGAAGCAGCATCCTACAAGTATCCAGAGACTTAGCAGACAACACAAGCCCTCAGGGGCATTAAGACAATCCTCTAAATAACACTGCTTGTGACAAACATCCAATTTTCCAGTTAGGGGACAACCTTTCCACGGATCGCCAGTCACACTTGTCATCTGTCCAGCCGCATTTCCCACCTACAGTTACGCCCCGTCTCCGTTAACACTTTCCCTAGGAACCAAACTCTCGCTCTCTTTTCTCTTCAGTCACAGATGCGGCTAACGGTGCAATCTGCCAATCTCCATGAGTCATCCAGCACTGTTAATTACGTACCCTAAGGAGTAGAATTGATTAGCGAGGGTCTCAAACTGATTTAAATTGTTATTTGAGACTATATAAAGCGTGGGTCTAAACATTGCCATTTAGTCACATTCACTAAGCGCTGTCGTTTTTCAGAATCCTACTTCGCCAAGCCACACAGATTGGATCTGTGGAGAGAGAAGCACAGGATAAATGATGCCGGTGCGTCCACTGACAATGCGTTTCAAGGGGAGAAACTTATTCACTTTAGCTTTCATTGAGAGGTGCTGTATGAGATCAATAATTATTCAACCATAGACGAGTCACTACGAGTTGAGGAGAATGTCAATCATTATGGCAAGCTCACAGTTAAACTATAGCACATGAGAAGAGGTGCGAACTTAATGGCAAATTATGAAAAAAACATTCAAGTTTGGAGTTTGTCTCCTCAACAAGCTTGCATTTTTTGATCGGTAAAATAAGTGGTAATATTTAGAAATATATCAGTTTTGAACCTGTGATGACAAAGCAAAGCATCAGTCTTGAATGTCACATGATCACTCTAATATGCTGATTTAATGTTCAAGAAACATTTCTTATTATTATCAACAGTTGAGCTGCTTAATATTTAGTGGAAACAGTGATTCGTTTTTATCAGGATTCGTTTGACTGTTCAAAAATCAGCATTTTTTAAAATAGAATTATTTTTATAACATTGTAAAAAGGCTTAACTGTCACTTTTTATGAATTTAATGATCCTTGAAAAACGAAAGCTTTTAAACAGTAGGATATATGGATCTAGTTTACTCATGAGTAATTGGATTAGCATTACGTGCATGAATTCTACTAGTTATCCAAACAATCAAAACAAACTAATAAGAAATTTTTAAAAAAAATCTTTTTAATCTATACATTTTTTTACAACCATTATTTGTTTTATGCTTTTTATTTTCATAAATCCAACCATAAATTCTCATACCATCATGCATCTGGATATTTTTATCAGATTCTCATAACTGTAACATTTTAAGTAAGCAAATATAAAGCCAGTACAATGATTTTAAATTTGTTTTTAGTTATTTTTGAATTACAGTAATGGAGTGATATTACTTAGACATGAGAGATGGACAATGGTATTAAATTGCCATAAAAATAATGAAAAACTGAAAATCTTAATGGATTTTTGGAGTGAAAATTGGCAACAACAAAAAAAAATAGTACAAATATTTCAAAAAGCACAAACCCACACAAAATGTGCAAATTATTTTTTTGGTTTCCAAAAATCCAAAAGTGCACAACTAGGGTCTAGCAAAACTAGATTAACTCTCCGCTGATGCCAAGTTCTCGGAAGGCAGCTTTGACCTTCTTCCTGTGGGGCCTGGAATTTACAAGGTCTGAGCGCCGGTCCTTGAGAGCCGAAATGTGGAAAGACGAGCGAGTTTCCTACAGGCTGTGATTAAAGCCTGGATTTATATGCCTGTGCATGATGCCACATGTTAGAACTTCAACCACCAGCTACGTGTGACAGCAGCCCAGACCGACAGCGTGATATAACCACCACCACCGGACAACGCAGCCGGCATGACTCAGCTCAGAACATCAAAACAAGCCCAGGGAACTCGTCAGCCCTCATGTTCTGTTTGGTCGTTTACGTCAAGACCGTTTTAAAAGCACAAAAACAAAAATTTCAACCTAACATAAATAATACACCCCAGCAACGTTTAATCTCCTGGTTAATCTGTCTGGTGACCAACATTTTTTAAAGTATCTTCTTTTGTGTTCAACAGAAGAAAGAAACTCATAACATGAGGGTAAGTAAATGATGACAGAATTTTCATTTTCATTTTTTTTTTTTTTTTTTTGGTGAACTATCCCTTTAAGTGATGCATAACTGACAAGAATCATCAGTTATGCATATGACGTCAGAACTTCCATTGACAATAAGGAACACGCTGTTTATAGCTTGGAACTCCACGGGAAACATGATACTGTGTATATCTATAATGTTTAACCAGGAGTTAAAACAATGTAGCATTTTATTTTAATTTTTTTTTATCAACCACTGGGGATTTGACTCATTCAAGGTACACAAAACTACCAGGTACTAAAATCTCTCTCATGAATTATGTGTAAAGAATGACAATGAAAAGCTGACGACTGTCATACAGTCAACTGTCAACATTATGTCAAATCTAAACTGTCAAACCAAAGCACTGCTATGAAAACATGCAAACATATAGTCAACATAAGAGTACAATACAGCCCATCTGAGATATATACACACACTTTCAAACGTTTTCTGACACAAAATGTTCAAACCTTTCAAAAAAAATCAAAATCAGAAAAGATCACACAATTTGTGGAACGGCCATTGTTGAGTAATATGCCTTAATTTTATAATCTAAAATATCAGACTTTTAAAAATGTGCCTTTATGATTCTCCAGCAGCTATGAAGTAAACGCATACACACAGAAAATGAAACGTGATACAACTACTCCGAGTTACGATTCAACACACACACACACACACACACACACACACACACACACACACACACACTGTTTTGATTGTTTCATCTGATCGCCCACAAGTTTCTTTCTCTTACTGAAAATGATCGCTGCATTTAATGAAAAAAATCACAGGGTAACGCATGCGAATCCTCGCTTCTCACCTTTCCGAAGCTCCGCCGCGATCGGACGCAACACTCCGGACTTTATTCCCGTTGGAGAGCGCGCCAACGACGGATCCACTCACTGACGGGTTCCGCCATACTGGATTGTGTCGAGCGGATCACGTGTGTGTCGAGTCCCCGGCGCATGTCCTCCAGAGGCGGGCGCTCACAGGCAGTCGAGCCCGCGTCTTCATGTTTCTCACATGGGATGAGAATTATTGACCGATTCCTTACAGTGCAGCTCCAATAACGATTCGTTTGATGAACACATAGCTATTTGAGATAAGAAATTTAGTTCTTTTGTTATTGTAGCCTATCGTGATCGTTACAGATTTCAACAGATCAGATGTATAAAAAAAATTATTTAATATAGGCTAATATTTTCAACATTTAAAAGACTTTTTAGACTTTTTAAAGGTTATACAATAATTTGTCCAATATGCTGGTGCTAAAAAAAAAAACGTGATAATTTAACAGTGATCAGGTAAAAATGGAAAATTCAGCATGAGAGTTGGACAATAGCTAATAGTCACAATTTTATTTATTTATTTTTTTAGCTAAATGGCGAATTTAACAAATGTTATTTCATATCCTGATCCGATACTGCCCTACAAACATTGTTTATATTGAAGGCCATGAAAACAATAACCTTTATCAATAAAAAAATGTAAAAAGATTTCTTCAGTACCATGCGACACCTGGAAATATTAAGTCATTTTAAAAATAATTAGTTCCAGACCTGCAACCTGCAGTGCTCTGTTGCAAAAAAACTTTTAAATTAAGAAAACTCTTTACAATCATAGCCAAGGTGTTTATTAAGCAATTCTTCAGTTGGTGAAGCTGAGGACCGGAAAAGATCGTGAAATGAACCAAATCTTAAAAAATAGTTAATGCACGTGTATATAGCAAGATACTAATGCAGATTATGAAAGCCAATTAAATAATTCTATGTATTGTCTTGGATGGTTTTCACATTTTTCTTGTTGCTTAAATACGCCTACTACTTTAACTGTTCATTTTACTATCTTTTGCTGAACAAATAATTCAAGTTGTAGCTAATACCTTTAATAGGTCTTTGGTCAAAACATTTGATATATGCAATATACACATTTGGTCAAATCTCTCTCTCTCACACACACACACACATCTATTCTTAGCTGGACATGCCTGATGGAGCTTGACCCTCATGTGAATGTAAAGTGATGTTGTGGTGACCGCTGTTTCTCAGGTTCCCCCATCTAATACTCAGAGGACTATAGAGTTTCATTCAGTACAGAGATCCACTGATCTTTTAGATTGCCCTGTATTGTACATCAAATGTGCCTTTATTGTGTCCTTATCCTCCCGTATGCATGCTTCTCTTTCCAATGTTACACAAAAGTTTTTGAGGAATCTTTACATGACTCTTTTGAATTCAATACGAGTTTAAAGTGACCACATCTGGCTGCACCTGACCTAAGTAACTGTCCATTCACACCAAGGACGATAACTATAACGATAAAGATATAGTTCCAAAAATCGTTCTAAATATAAAAGCAGACACCACAAATATAACGATAGAGGAACGATAACATTTGAATCACTTTCAGAACGATTTTTTTCAGCTGATGAATGATAAAAACATTGACAGCAAATCAGAATTCACCCTTCTTTAAAGAGTTTAAAGGGGAAGACCACAAAACTGCAGAGTTATCATAAACAGAGGGATATTATGCATTGTTGTAGACGCTAATATAATTATTTAAATTGTGAACCAACATTTTATAAATCATAGGTATCCCTTACTGTACCTCTTGTGCATACCTCTTTGGTGCTTTTCACAAATACAGTGCACTTTGATCTCCCTGCATGCATTCAGTATTCAAAAATCACACAAAAATGTCATAATTTTGAGACTATTGATATTCAATTAATCATATTAAAAACTAATTTAACTAATTGAGTTACTTTAACTACTACAATAAAGGATTAGTTCACTTTTAAAAACTTTTGCTGATAATTTACTCACCCCCATGTCATCCAAGATGTCCATGTCATTCTTTCTTCAGTCGAAAAGAAATTAAGGTTTTTGATAAAAACATTCCAGGATTTTTCTGCATATAATGGACTTCACTGGGAACCAAACGTTCAAGGTCATGAGTTTCAGTGCAGCTTCAAAGGGATGAATAAGGATCTTATCTAGCGAAACGATAGGTCAGTTAAAAAATAAATAAAAAAGTTTAAGTTTTATAAGCACAAATGCTTGCCTTGCTCTGTTCTGTGAAGCGCATTTGTGACTCTCCTGTTCGAACTCGTTCATCAAAATGAACAAATCTTTTTTCGAGTCAATTCGTTCATTTCGTTCGTTGAATGAACCAAATGACTTGAAAAAAGATTTGTTCATTTTGATGAACGAGTTCGAACAGGAGAGTCACGAATGTGCATCACAGAACAGAGCAAGGCAAGCACTTTTTATCATTTGTGCTAAACTTAAAGTTTTGAGCGATCGTTTTGCTATAAAGAGCCTTATTCACCGTCTGGAATCGTTTAAAGCCCTTTGAACCGTTTGCAGTTTGCACTGAAACTCATTTGGACCTTGAACTGTTTGGTTCCCAGTAAAGTCCATTATATGGAGAAAAATTCTGCATGTTTTTATCAAAAACCTTAATTTCTTTTCGACTGAAGAAAGAAAGACATGGACATCTTGGAAGACATGGCGGTGAGTAAATTATCAGCAAAAGTTTTTTTTTTTTAAAAGTGAACTACTCCTTTAACAAAGTGCACCTTTTATGCTTTTTCAAATATTACCTTTTATAAAAATGCCGTAATTAACACTCACACTCATGTCGTTCCAAACCTGTAAGTCTTCCGTTCATCTTCAGAACACAAATGAAGATATTTTTGATGAAATCTAAGAGCTTTCTGTCCCTCCAGACAGCTACGCTAATGTGAATAAAAAGCCTGTTCATCATATATGAAAAGTTTTGACTAAACCACTCAATTCATATGAATTTTACGAAGGTTAAAGTGCACGATAAATGAGTTATTGTCTCCTAAAAGAAAGAATCGATTCTGAACTTCCTGAAACAAGTCGTCAGCAATTCCAGGCTTACTTACTGTTACATACATAATGTTTTTATAAATAGTGTATCATATAATACATATATATATGAAGAGTTCAGATGCAAAAGCCTCTAAATGCCATTTGAAATTTTCTTCTTTAATGATGATTTTTATAAAACTTGTATATTTAAGTTCAGTAATTTCACTTAAATGGCAATGATAATCACCTATCAATTGTTATTTAAGTGAATTACTGAACTTAAATATACAAGTTTGATAAAAATCATCATTAAAGAAGAAAATTTCAAATGGCATTTAGAGGCTTTTGCATCTAAACTCTTCATATATATATATATATATATATATATAATACACATATATGTAACAATATTATATTTTATTATATAAATATATAATTTTCATGCCATTTTTTGGATCCTGTAAAATGCCTTTTACTAAAAGCCTTATTAAAATGCAGTTTTTGAAATTCCTGTGGATGCAATGCTTGTGAAACAAGCTTTGGCAGAATGAGCTGCTGCAGTTTGTGCACGAGTGTCCTGTGTTTAGCAACAGAATTCCAAGCCATTACACCTGGCTTGGTGACAATAATTATCACTTCCAAGCAAATGTAACTAACCTAATTACTGTCTACAAAGTTGTCAAGCTTCAAAAGCTGAACATGAAAACAAAAACAGGAGGGCAAATTAACTCAATTAGATGCCAAGACGAAAAAAGCACTGCACTGTTGTTACGATACAAGTTGTTTTCCCTTTACAAGTTTCTTTTCAGTTTTTCTCAGAGTTTTCTCTGGTCTTAATCAGACAGGCTGCAATCACACTCGACCGCAGAAGAAAACATTCTGCAGCAAACTGATAAAAAGAGAATTCTTCTGTTGATAAAGCCAGACGCTTCTATGATGACAATCAAACGTGCACTTTTCTGTTGATGGGAGGAAAAACACGCACACTTTACAGAGGATTTTGATCCTCTGAAGTCATGCACTGAATCTGCGCCTCTCCATCAATGGCACTTGTAACTGTTCAAGAGAATCACTGGCCTCCTCTTTGAGGTATAGCTTCTGTTATGAAGCATAAGGTTTGGAAACACTTACTGCGGTCATTCAACTGTCTAGAATGGAGCTTCATTTAATGCAAAGGAAAAATATACAAAGGCCATTGTGAGAACAGAGGGTTTCTTGTGCAGTTTAAAGGAATTGAAGATCATTTTGGCTACTCAACATTTTGTTCTGACCTCATATTTTCTTTCATTAAAGGGATAGTTCACTTTGAAATTCATTTTTGGTATGTTTTAGCTTACCTCAAGGGCATCCAAGATGTACAGTAGGTGTCTTTGTTTCCACTCTAATTTCAGTTCTTGTCTGTCAGTCATATAATGCAGGTCTATGGTCACCACCTCAAAGAGCATGCACAGAGAAGTCCAAATTAAACATGATTTAATGACTCGTAAATGTAAGTACACATTGATGGCCTAAGACATGAAACGAGCGGTTTGTGTGAGAAAACGAACAGTTTATATCGTTTTTACCTCTTGTAACCACAGCCACGTATGAGTTTGGAAGTGTTACCCTTCACTGTGAAGATCTAAACACATTTAGATATACATGAAATCGCAATGGAAGATGATTTTGATATATCAACAGCTAACGTTGAATTTTTTTCACAACCAGATCACTTCCAGCGCTTGCGCAGACCCAATCGCCCTCGTACTCAGATCACTTGGACGTAGCTGTGGTTACAAAAGGTAAAAACGATATAAATACTGTCCCTTTTCTCACACAAAGCGCTCGTTTCGTGTCTTATGCCATCAATGTGTACTTACATTTACGAGTCATTAAATCATGTTTAATTTGGACTTCTCTGTGCATGCTCTTTGAGGTGGTGACCATAGACCTCCATTATATGACTGCCAGACAAGAACGGTTTGACCTAAAAATATCAAAATTGAAACTACTGCGGAAAACAAAGACACCTACATCTTGGATGCCCTTGAGGTAAGATAAAAGATATAAAAAATTCATTTCAAGGTGAACTATCTCTTTTTAAATGCAACATAACTGTTATTTTACATACAATGACAAAACTTGAGCACTATATTACATAAGGAGTACTTGATTGATTGGACAAAGACCAAAAATGAATTGCAAAAATGTTGCGTTTAAAAGACGTGTAATAGCCCTGACCTCTAGGCTAAAACAAGGCAAAATTTGGACTGTCAGTGAAAATGTAATAGACGTCTAACCATAGCCCAAAATAGACTAGTCATCAACATAGAACATGTCAAAGACGTGAAACCAAACACGTTGTAATCACTGTTGACTTTGATTACGTGACGGAATGTCACACATCTTGCGAGTTTTACAAAATGATCTCACCCACAGTGTTTCTGCTGTTTGCTGCACTACTGTATGTGCACGAGCGCTCCAGGTAGTAATTAGATTACAATGATTCCAGGAATTTGTTTACATGCAAAAATGAGCCTGTCACTTTTTCAACAGCACGGTGCACTTTTGGGGCCCGTCTGCCATTTGTCACTGTAATTAACTGGAGAGAGTCAACTCTGAGCATGTACCTTGCGCCCGAGCGCGACGGAGAAGCTCAGACGTCCTCTCGATTAATGACACCGGATGTGGGTGCTTCAGAACCATGAATCTCTGATTCAGTAAATGTCAGTATTATGCAGATCAGCCTCATCACAGACACAGACAACAACGGCTCGAGCATCCGACCACATAGGTCACCGGAGATGGCGGGTGGGGGTTTGCAGAGGAAACGCTTGCACTGTGTGGAACGGCCTGA